ATCTTGTTTCATAATTGTTGAGCTTACTTCTATTTCGATTAAGAGTGTCGCGTGAAGAGATTCGAACCTCGGTTCCTGCAGAAGACCAACTGTCTATTAAACAAACATTTTCGTTTTTAATTGGTTTTCGAGACTACCACTCAATCAGATCTACGAATAAAGTAGGTAATGGAAAGTATTCAGCGAAAGATAGTGTGGTCTCTGTCTCATTTCGTTGTATAAAAGTTGTTTAACCTACTTTTAGCAACTTGGTCGTACTGTTACTATCCATGATCATTTTCACAGACAGAACGTGAATTTGGTACATTCGCAGGCATTGCTGCTGAATCATTGTTGCCAGTCTTAGCATCACCTCACAATTCGCCATACACACCGAATTAGTGTTGAATGGTTGTGCTGCCTATCCAAATGTTCTGGTACATTCAACTCTCCCACATCCTCGCATCATCTCTTCACCAACACAATTTGGTACTTGTTTATCTGAACCCAGTTCAGGCGTACTTCTTATGAGCGCATTTAGTTAAGCGACTCTCCACAATCTGATGCGAGTGTCGACCAAAGTCGTCCATTTTAATCTCGTGCCAAATGTTGCACGGAAAAGACATGAAATCGACTGGAAATGGTGAAAATGTCAGGAAAACGCAAGATTCGAGAGGCTATGAATATTCTGACTGAAAGACATGTGATGATAGGAGACTTTAAGAAGACATGATTGGTGAACTCTTTGTATATTGCTTGGGCAAACTGGGACGAGATGAGGGAACGGGAGAATCGGCAAAACGACGACGAATAGGTGAAGGAAGTGTGTTGAAGATGAGGAAGAGAAATGGCGAGGAGGACGTTGAGATAGACTCGGACATGAAAAGTAGACGTCTACAACGACCGCAATCAGATGAAGTTGCAAAAGGTGAACTTTGCGAGTTGGCCAGACAAGAGACTGTGGCATAAGAAAGTGATAGACTTGGCATTGTGGATAGAAGTACGAGAGATGTCCGGCACACATGCCGAAGAGTGACAAGGCAATTGGCAGTGACCCAGTGAAAGCACTGAACCAGGCAGGAAAGAGACGAATGCTGAGCGGCAGGAGGGGGACTCGGATGGGACTCGGAGGAAGAGGATTGAGCATGAAAAGGGCCAGACTAGGATCTACACTCCTCGCCCAATGTTGGGGGAGGGAGTGGGATAAGAGGACCAGTGGAGAGTGTGAATGTAACTCGCTAAATCCACTCAAGAGTGAACATGCGAACTAGGTTTAAATATGAGATGTATTTACGCAATTTCGTTTAAAGTGATGATGGACTGGTAGAAGAAGAATTTTCCCACAAATGATATGAATTGAGCTGACGTTTCAATTCACTTTCACATAACCTTGCTTTTCCAAAAGTTGATCTCATCCAGGTGGGATTGTCATTAAAGCAAACGTATATCTGCTATAACAATCGACTACTATACTTTATTTTTCGAATTAAGTTTTGTTTTCGTGACTACCAGTATATCAGTAGTATGAGATATATTCACCCAATTTCGTTTAAGGTGATGAAGGACTGGTAGAAGAATAATTTTCACACAATCATATGAGTTGACCTGACGTTTTTATTCAATTTCACCCAGCCTTGCTTTCTAAAAAGTTGTTCTCATCCATGCACCAGTGGGCTGCAGTTTCACCTTCAACGAAATTGGGTAAATACATCTTATACTACTGATTTATTGGTAGTCACGAGAGCAATATTTAATTCGAAAAATAGGTTTCAATAAACAAGTAATAAATTGTGATAGTGAAGATATGATAGGAAGATATGGGAGAGGTTAACGCTACAGGACAGGAGAGATACCACAATTTATCAAAAAATCCATTTCACTTGTCTCTAACGGGCTGTGCCGTGGTGCTACGA